CAAAAGAAAAAAAAAAAAAAAAAAAAAGGGGGGGGGTGTTAGGATATAGATATTCAGGCCTGTCTGTAAAGGCCTACATTTTAAGAATTTAGGTATATGTTTATCATTTAGCTAGTTATAGAGGTATAAAAGAAAGAATCAAAATCACTATCTGCCTGTGTAAGGGCCTTCTCTCACTGACAGTCTGAGGCCCTGTTCTTAAGCTAAGGCCTTTGGCTCAGCCAGGGGTGGCCAGCCTGTGGCTCTGGAGCCACATGCGGCTCTTCAGCCACATGCGGCTCTTCACAAGTTAATATGCGGCTCCTTGTATAAGAACCGACTCTGGGGCTAGAGTTACAGGTGCCAACTTTCCAATGTGCCGGGGGGTGCTCACTGCTCAACCCCTGCCCCTCCCACAGGCCCTGCCCAAACTCCACCCCTTCCCCTGCCATGCCCTCGCTCCTCCCACTCCCCCCCCAGAGCCTCCTGCATGCCACGAAACAGCTGATGGGGAGGGAAATGGAGGCACTGATTGGCGGGGCTGCTGGTGGGTGGGAGGTGCTGGGAACAGGGGTTGGAACTGATGGCGGGCTGCTGACATATTACTGTGGCTCTTTGGCAATGTACATTGGTAAATTCTGGCTCCTTCTCAGGTTGGCCACCCCTGGGCTAAGCAGTGGGAGCAGCCATAAGCTGGAAAGCATCCGGTCATGTCCTCACACCTTTCAAACCAGTCATATTGAAATAAGGCAATCGCGGGCTGTGAGAAAGGTGATTCGATCTATCGCCTCCAGATAAAGGAAAGAGTCTAGAAGATGTAAAAGGAAATTTAGTTTGATAGTTTTCTGTATTGTTTTGTCATTATAGTTCCCACTTTTCTATTATTTGAATAATCTGTCTGGTTCTGTGATTGTTTCTGTCTGCTGTATAATTAATTTTGCTGGGTATACACTAATTAAGGTGGTGGGATAACTGTTCCCCTGCTGCTAAGCTAAAATTTTAACTAGCATCTGCTCTGTTAAAAAGTCAAGAAACTTAAAATGTGTGACTTGCTGACAGCTCTATGGGTAAAAAAACATTACAGTCACACCAAACTATTTTTAGAAGGAATAACAACCATCAGCATCCGAATTCAAATAACTTTATTTCAATGTACACGAACTGAAACAAAATATAATTGAGATTTACAGACTTAAGAGAAATATATTGCTGGGCTGGCTCATTGGCAAGTGTTCTTCACTACTAAGCAGTGGGAATAATTAGATTTCCAGTCTTCACCTTGCTTGTTAGGCCAAAAAGGAGCTGGAAGTGCCACTGATGCTTATTTCCCAAGAGGACTTGCATTGCTCTGCAATTAAGAACTAGTGTTTATGAACACTGAAGAAGAAACCCATCCATTCTTCAGCTAGATAAACTAAACTCCATGCTAGCCTGAGAGCTTCAATGAGAGAGAGAGAGAGAGAGACCTCTTCTGAAAAAATACATCTATTACTAAAACCCTACTTCACTTGCGCTATTGTTGAAATTGCAGCTTTCGAGTATTAGACTTCCACCGCAATTTTGTTTTAGTTTCTTTGCACAGTCCACAATTTTGCATACATTTGAGGTTTGCCACACACGCTTTTTTCCCCATTAATATATTAAATGATCTTCAGTTCTACAGTGTTTACCAGAGTTAGCAGAGACAGCAAAGCAATCACTACTGATCTTGCCTAATTCTGTGGATGACAAAGCAGACAGGACATGAAGGAGACCACTGTAGCAGGGCGTACTGCACTAACATTCAATGGCTGTAATACGTAAATGGCTAAAGTGACAACTTGATTTCTACAGCAGTTGTGTTAAGACTTTTAGTCTGAATTTTATATTGTACCAGTTACTTTTTAAAAAAAATGAATGTAATATAGGTGCAAAATTTGCAGGCATAATATAATAGTTGAGTTGTTTATATTGTAGGTCTACTGTGGCTTTTCCAAATTACTGCTACTAAAAGAAGTCCATTATTCCTTTTCTGCAATTTTCCATGTCTTATCTGTAACTCGGCCACAATTATTTGAAGATCATCTCCCGATTCAGGTAAGGCCTTATATATTACTGAAGAGCAACAGTGCAATAAAATATATTGCACTGCATCAAATTTAAAACCAAACATTGTCCCTCCTGATGTTCTTATCCTACCTAATCTCTTGTATAAGCATCTGCTCTAAAATTCACAACCACAGAATTTATATTACATAACCCTGCAAGCAAGGTGGTTTCAGTACACTTGTTGATGAGTGCTATTACCTGCTGGTTCAGCTGCAACATGTGGTATACGTACTTGGTAAATGGGAAATTATTTTGACAATCTACTTGAAAATTTACAAAAGCTAAGACTGTTTTACAATGTCCAATGTAGTTAAGTTAGTCAATGCTACACTATGGCACTATAAGATAAGCAATGCTTTAAGATGCACTACTCCGGTAATAGTTATTTGCAATTCTTGCCTCTTTACATTTCCTTTATTGAAAATATGATAAATGGTATAAAATACTGAGATGCAAATTATGGAAATGTTTTGAAATAACAGATTAAATTTATGGTCAGTTCCCAGATGATACCTGGTTCAAAGGGGCTCAGATTTTCAACCTACTTCCAAAGACAAACAAATAGTTGGAATTTCTTCGAATGTGAATCAGTTTATAAAATTGACAGAAAAATGGAGTATTATGTGCAAACATACCGAAATCAAAAGACTTTATAAAAACATTCCTAGAAATGTACCAAGCTTAAACAAAAAATGTTATACAAAGATTTATAGCTGAGCTTTTAGTCGTCATCAGAATCTGAATCATATTTCTTTCCTCTGATGGTTTTCTTATCCAGCTTTGTGACAATGGTTCCAAATTTCTTTTGGCTCTGAAAAGGTGGGTCCATCAAGTTTCCACTAGAAAGAAATAAAATTTTGCTAAAGTGAAAAGGTAAAAATATATTAACAGACAGCAGCACAGACCCAGAGAAGCAGCTAGTTGGACAAATCTGTTTAAAGAAAGAGGGGTTGGGATCAATAGTTGGGTAGGAGGAGCCTGTTCCTTCTATACCCTTAATCTCCCCCCCCCCAAACCCAGAGATTGCCAGAGAAAGTAAGACTAAGGCCTTGGCTAAAATTGCAAGTTAGAGCACGTTAAATCAGCCCCGGGCACCCTAACTCCTGAGGTGTCCACGCTGGCAAGGTACTTAGAGCGCCTGGACTCTGCAGCAGGAGTGCCCCTGGTAATCTACCTCCACGAGAAGCATAGAGCTTGCTGCGCCCTGGCTGAAATGCCTGGGTGTCAGTATGGACGACGTGTTGCATTACTGCGCTGTGATTGGCTTCTGGAAACATGACTTCAAGGGATTACGGGAAGTGGCCACTCTTGTCATTGTTTTGAACTCGGCTGCAGGCATACGGATATCCCCTTTCAAAGCTCCATTTCTGACAGCTGGCTGCTTATCTGCTCCGGGACAAAGCAAACCATTACTGTGGAATGCTGCTGCTGCCCAGTCAGGTGTTTGTGTGTGTGTGGGGCCGGGGGCTGATGTCGGGGTTTCCCCCTGCTGCTGTCTGAATTTACAAGATAGCATGCTGACACACTTTCTGCCCCCCAAAACACACTGTCTCTCCCCCCACATACCCACAACATACTCCCTGTCACATTCCACCTTCACCCCATTTGAAAAGCACGCTGCAGCCATTTGCACACTGGGATAGCGACCACTATAGATTGCTCTTGTGGCGTTGCAAGAGCTGCTAATGTTGCCACGCCACTGCGCTTGCAGCTGACAATGTAAACACACGGCAGCGCTTTCCCTGCTGCTGTCTCCAAGGGCTGGTTTAACTCCGGGCGCTCTACATCTACAAGTGTAGCCATGCCTTAAGACAGCAAGGTTGTACTCTCTTTCTTATGCAGCTGCCTCCTCTTAGCAAGGTTCCTGAGGAGAGCTAGTCAGGAGCCCAGAGCACAGGACATATGAGACTAGGATTCCAGAGTAGTGTGGACATACAGAGCCTTCACACAGATAGCTGTAGCCTACAGTGGATCCCTGGCGATCTGCAGGGTTTGTGGCTCATTTTGCAGAGGGAGGGCTAATGGACTTAGATGGGAGAAACTCTGTAAGGAGAACTTAATACAGGTTTCCTCCCACCTCATCCCTTCCTCTACGTTTTACCATGTGAGGAATGAGCCAGCCCATCAATATTTACTAGATTCAAGACACTATAGCATTCAAAGAATAGGTTTTTCTCATATAAATTACAATCCAGAAAGTCCATTTGTTCCTCATTTGTTGAATCCTACTAATATATTCTCTTTGGCCCCCTCCTCTCTGCTTGCTTGCTACTAGTGTGGAAGAAAGGGAAAAGGAAAGAGGAAGCAGACATTCCCCCAGACACAGTTACAGATTAATGAAGTGTCCAAACAAAAACAGAGTTCTAGAAAGGCACTGAAAAAATACAATACTTAGACTAGGAGTGTGTTAACTATGGCTTAGCTCCCATGAGACTACAATATACTGTTCCCATTCTAAATGGTACGCTTCTTTTTAAAGTAGAACGAGAACACATTCTACAATTTGGAGATTTAACATTCAAATAAATGCAGATGAGTTTAATGGAACAACTTTCCCTATTTTTAATAACTTAGCTTTAAAAATGCCAAGGATATGAAAAGCAAAAGAAGGTACATTAATGTGATATCAAGGTTGACCTTTTAATCACATAAATCAGTAAATTCAGATTGCAGATCCCACAGTACCTTAACTCTACCCCTGGTTTTTACTATCCATGTCTTTCCATTAATGATCACAAGACACAAGGCTATGTGACAGTTCTTTGCAAATGCAACATAGTAGAAATCATTTGCACTTTTTTTCAGTAAGAGACTTTTTAAAGTCAAATTATATTTAACCTACATTTTGCTATCACTGTGGACAGGCACATGCCCCATACCCAGCTGAACAGTGCAAGTGTGAAGATATCCCGTAAAGACTGAATTAGTTAGGGAGGAAAGGCTGGGCGTTCAGCTGACTCGTTAAGAAGCAGCTGTAAAGAGAGTGGGTGGGAACTAGCTATCCTAAAGCCCAAAGGCCAGAGCTTTGTTTGTTTTCACTAGTATTGGGAAAACTTCCTTTTCTCAAGAGTTTCCTGAGAGGCACTTCCCTTTGTTTTCCTTGCCAAAGGTTTATTGCTGTAACAGCTGGATTATTAGCTCACTTTGGTCTTGGGCACACTAAACATCAACATGATCAACAGAGTCTTTATGCAAAAAATGAATCTATAAATATAACCCTCACACATTAACTTTAAAAACAATATATATTAATTACCTGTAATTAATTATGTCTGAACAGCCTAATCTCCATTCTAGGGTTTCTGTGGTAAAGTCATCCGTATTACCAAGATCAGTAAAGCCAACGATAAAATCTTGCGTTTTTCCATCTTTTACTAGTGCTAGAGTGGGAATTACTTTGATGCCCAATCTCTCGCACAAGAATGGAGATTTTTCAGCATTTAATTTCAGGAATTTTGTTTCAATGTGTTTTTTTGAAAGTACTGCCAAATGCTTGTCTATTATCACGCATCTGTGAAAAAAAAATTCAAATACTTATGAGTTAGGTATCACAAAGACCATTTAAGTCTACTTCAGTGCTGAATTCTTGATTATTAAGGTCATATTTGAAGAATCAACATTACAGACATAGCTTGTTACTTTTGGTTTTATTTTTAGGGAAAAATAAAATATTCCAATCAGTTTACTAATATTCAAGAGCTTCAACTTACAGTATCTGGATTTCAAGGTTATCAAAATAAGTGACTTGGCATTGTGGTTGGGGAAATTGGGATAACACATTCCTTCCTTGAAGCCTCTGGCTGCTAGCAGTTCATAGGGAATGTTCTCATCTTTCACTAGGGTGTGTTCTTGCTCACACTGAAGTATTTGGGAACTTTGCTATTGAACTTCAACAGGAACAAGATCAGGCCCAAGTTTTTAAGAAGCAATCTAGTGAGATTTGTTCAGTGATTAACAATCACCACCAATTTTTTTTCTTCTGCTACCAAAGTTTTCCAATGACCCTTTTCTAGGGATAAACCCATTATTTCAAAATGAATTTTACCTAGTTCCCTTACCCTAGCCCCTTTCCTGGCATGGCTGCTCAGCTTAATATTAATGAACTGCCTGCCTCAAAGCTAAACAACAATGATGATGTGAAGCAAAATGCTCCCCTAGAAATCCTGTCTACAGACAGTAGTGAATATTTTTACCAAGCTGGTCAACATAATCATATGATGTTATAAAATAAGCCCCACATTAAGTGCTTATTTAGTTTTAATAGAAACATGTCTGATTGCAGGCTCCCCTGCTCAGTGAGATTTGACAGATCTGTTGATTTTAAAACCTCTATATTCAGTTTCACTTGCTGCTTTTGGAATAGTTTATTTACTTTTACACATTCTTAGCATCACAAGAGTCTCTTTAAAATAAGGTATTTACTGTACCTGAAGGTTGTATCTTTATAGAAATGGCAAACCACATTTTTACTTTCTTTGACTTCTTGGAAAAAGTCTCTCTCACTTGGGATTTCTCTATATTCTCCATGTCCTTTTGAGAGCCATTCCTTATGATGAGAAAGCAAAAAGTTAGTACTGTGTTTCTTAATTGTATTTAATCTATTCTGAGAGCAATATTACTTTTAGAGAACTCCCTGACATGTTATAAAAATATATTTATATTAAATAAAAAAAAGACTGCCATCTGAAAGCTTAAATAAAAGCTTAGAATCCGTTTTTTTTAAGTAGGGGAAGGGGCAGGAGGGTTTTACTGGGAAACATTTGAAGTCAAACCATAGCAGCTAGTCAGGAAAAGAAACTACTTTTCCCTCTTCACCCCTTCTTCCCCCGCACAATAGATGAAAATCCACTGGTCTGGACATGGCTGCTGGGTTAATCTGCCCATATTTTTTTTGGTGGGGTAGAAGGAGGAGTCACTGCTTTGTTGAAAGCCACAGTCCTCGTACAGAATATGATACACTTCTATAGCATAACCTCCTACAAAGAACAGATTAAACCGCCAGTATTCAAGAGAGGATATAAACCCCAAAGTTCTTTCAACAATTTTGGGAGTCTCAAAGTTGCAACGCGGACTGCCCTCTTCAGAAAGTAATTGTATACTGACAAAAATTCACCAAAGCATGACACCTATAATCACAAAAAAAACCCCACCAACACAGAAAGCATGACACAGCACGCTTTAAAGCTGATCTACTTTCAGTTGTCCCTATATAGAAAATGCAGATCAATACTATATTTTTAAAACTTCTGAAACATTCACTGGCATCTCAACATTATAAAGGCCACCAGAGCTGGCTTTACAATAGATACATTAAGTATGTAGATAATCTTTAAAACGACAATTGTATACAAACAAAAAGTTCTCAAACATCTAGGTTCAATCCAAATACCCCAACAAAAGCAAGTTTTCCAGAACAACGTGCACACAATTATACACACAAAAATGCATGCTTGTTTACAGTTACTGAATGCAGTTACAATTTCACAAGGGAAAAATTATAATGGGACATGCAAACTGCAGTAATTGCATGATTAGGTGCGCAGATGTGTGCCTGCAATTTTGAAAGTCTAGCCCGTTATAATAAAAATTACTTTGCACTGATTGGAGAAGGATTGAGTAAGCTAGATGTTTACAAGCAGTACTTACTTTTCCAAAGCTAAATCACAAGTTGCCTATTTTTTAAAGTTAAAACAAAGCAGTTTTAACAAGATGCCAGTGCAAAAAAAAAAAAGTGTTACTCTATGAAGGAGTGAACTGAATTAAAAGGAGGTCATAAATATCCTGAATGTTGTCCATGCTCATGGTGCCTAGTATAGCCTAATTATTTTGATTTTTTTAATCAAGAGAATACAAAGAAGAAGAAATAGTAAGAAAGAGTCAACAACAAACTAAATTGTTCTTCAAGGAAAATCAGCAAGAGAGAGAGACCTGTTACATTATCAAAAAAATATGTTCAGGTCTACTTTGGGTCAGAACTATTAAGATTCAATATCCCTCAGCTTTCCAGCCTAACAGATATTCAGCTGCATCCACATCTCAAAGTCTGGTATTGGCCTCTACCATTCCCTTCACAACTGGAATGTCCTTTTCCACTTCCTATCACTGCCCAGTTTCATAGTTTTTGAGGCTTGACCATACTAGGTAGGGAAACCCAAAGGACTTCCCTATTTGCAGCTCAAGTTCCACACCAGTTGCTAAGAAAACCCAAACTACGTGGCAAAAGATTTTTGGAAAACATCAAGATCAATAGCTTAATGAGATGGTTGCAACAGCAAGGTAGGATTATTTCCTGCCCCTGCAAAAAGACATGAGCAAATAAGTTTTCTTCACATACATCCCAAAGTCTTACTGGATTGTGAGAAGCCCCTTTGCAGAATCAGGATAGGCGACCAGCCCTGTAAAGAGCTCGGAGAAGCCATGCATCATTCCTTTTGTAAAATGCCTCAAAACATAGAGAGGGAGGGACTTGCATACTACCACGAGAAGATTTCAAATGTTTAGAAGTCTGGAGGAGGGGGATCCCTAAGGTCTGCTGGCATGTGTGCATTACTGGTGTTTTCAGTCAATAATATTTGAGGACTCAATCACCTGAATATTAACATAATCAAATCCAAATATCAGTTTATTTGCTTACCCTTCTCTTAATCCAGATTTTTTTTAAATACACATCTGTATAATTTTGATATAACCAAACTGTTCTAAATCAAGGCCAAAAATTAAAATGTGTTAGATATGTTGTAGTCTATGATTCTATGCCAAATTTCAGCCCAAAGCAAGTGTACTGCTATTCAACACCTACCCTCCCCTGAGATTTTCTATCAAACACAAACAGAATCAACTAAAGTAGTCTTTGCTATAGTGTATAAAGCATCTGATCCCATTCTTTGAAGTTCAGAATCTAAAATGCTGCCAGAAAATTACTTGTTTCTGCTGCTGGGATTTCTTTAGTGCTTCAAGCCTCCTTTCTTTAAGGCGTTCCAATTCATCTTCATCCATCTGGTCCAATTTCTGAATCTCAGCATCCAGCTGTTCTTCCACTACTTTAGTAGTCTGAAGCATTTGATTTTCCAGAACTTTTGAAAACATTTCAACAGAAGTATCAGCAGCCATTCTTCTGGATATTTAATACACTCCTTGTAGCTGCAAAATAAATACATGAAAGTAGAGATGAATACCATAAAACAATACCTATTTCAAGCCTTTAGTTCATATCCTGATCAGGCCAGTCTCTTATCTATAGAGTGCTGTGTAGCAAAACGGGGGGTGGAGAAAAGAGAGACAGTCCCTATCCTATTAGGAACGACTATGCAGACAGTTGTTTTCTTCAGGGGGATTTACAACTCTGTAGACAATACTTACACCGTGCACACGCAAGAGAACAAAGATTCCTGTCATATCCTATTCTCTGACTCCCTAGGCCAGCTGCTAAAATAGCACATTCAGCTTCTTGGAGAAGGAAGCCCAGATTCACAAAGGACACTTCCGTCTCAGTTTTAGGCACCACTATGATCCACAACACGAACACCTGGCTTCCGCCTCACTCTGAAGGTGCCTAAACTCACCCAATGCCTAAGTTTTCTGGGTAGAAGTTCTCTACATATGTTTCTGCCTGAGGCCACGTGCACTGCTGCCTCCCTGTAGGTGTCTGGATACCTATCTCATGCATAAGGCCCAGCTCAATCCACAAAGCAGGGGAGGTAGGCTCTCCTCTGCCTAACTCACCTGTAGGTCCTGGTGTGTGCACAGGCTGCTTAATGCCACACAAAACAGCCTTGGGAAGAGTGGTAGGCGGATCTCCCTTATAATCTTTAGCAGAGCGTTTAGGATACTCACCCAGGATGTGAGACCCCTCCTTGTTCAAGTCCCCCCTCTGCCCTATGAGGAGGGATCTGAACAGGGATCTGCCACCTGTCAGGTGAGTGAGAAATTGATTGCTCCAGGCAGAAGCACAGGTTCAATCTTTCTCTGTGGAGATCCTCCTCGTGTAAAATTTCAGACACACATCGTACCAGGAATAGGGAGAAAAAAGAGCTGCAGGAACTCACTAAGTTTTCCCCATAATGCTCCATTTTTACTTTACCTCTAGTGCTGTGGGTGGTTTTGTAACAGGCTTATAGCAGGGCGAGAACGAGACCATTCAGCTCAGGACCTGGACAGCCTGCAAGCCAGCAGCCACCTATTTGTGCTACAAAATAAGCGGCCGCCGTAAGCCCCGTACGGCTTGATTCCATCTACAGTGTAAGTAGTGAAGTGAAACTGCTTTTCCGAAACACCCTGCCCGTGGGGGCGAGAGCCGGTTCCAAAACGAGCAGCGGCTCCGCTTCCCACCAGGGGAGGCGCGGCGGGGGGGTGCCTGGCGTGTTATGGGCACACCCCCTCCAGCTGTTACCCCTCGCAGCTCCTGCCAAGTGCGGGGGGACGGTGTCACCAGCACAGCGTGGCTATAGGGCGACAGGGCCCCGAGCCAGGCAGAGTCTGCCCCCGCCCCCCCCCCGGCCAGGTACCACACCCGGGGGGAAGGGATGCAGCAGCTAAACACAACGTATTGCGCATGCGCGGCTCGCGCCAGCTGCAACAGCTACGTTCACCGGCTCCAACGCCCCCGCCCCAGACAAACCGCCGGTGACAATCCTAGGCCCCCCCCGCCGAAAGGAGCCCGCAGCCGGGCCCCTGGGCCGACAAGGGAAACGCTGCCGGACAGGACGCGCCGCTCACAGTCCCCGCCCCGCAAGCCCGGCAGCGTCCCCACACCTTGTCCGCGCGTGTCTCGCGGCCTCAGCTCGTGCCTGGCGGCTCCGATGATTGTTGACGCGCCTCGCACCAGGGAGGATGGTGGTGAGGTGAGAGGCCGCAGTGCGCAAGCGCGTTCACGCCAGGGCCCAGCGCGACGGCGGCCTACGGAGAGGGCACGAGACAAGGGCGCAGGAGGGACCCGCTGCGCGAGGCGCTCACTGCTGCTGCCCAGCGCCCCCTCTGGCCGGAGGGCGAACAGCGGCAACAGGCGCCACGCTTCCCTGCCAGGCCAGCCCCAGGCTCCCCTTTACTGCCCCCTGCTGCCCAGCTCCAGGCTGCCCCTCCTTACTGCCCAGCCCTAGGCTTGCTTGCCCCCTTACTGCTCCCTGCTGCCAAGGCCAGAGGAGGAAATTTCCCACCCACTCCCTCCTCGGGCATGGGGGTGGGCACTGTACACAACAGAAAACAAGGGACGTTCTGATTCACTGGTGTGGCCCAGTGGTTAGAGCACAGAACAGGGAGTCAGACTGTGTTATTCAGAGCCCTGCCACTGAACTGCTACCTGCAGGGCCGGCTCCCGGCACCAGCTTAACAAGCAGGTGCTTGGGGCGGCCATGTGAGAGGGGCGGCACCTGCGGCAATTCAGGGGCGGCAGGTCCCTCACTCCCTCTAGGAGGGAAGGACCTGCCGCTGAACTGCCGCCGCTGATTGCGGCTTTTTTTTTCCAATTGCCGCCGCCGATCGTGGCTTTTTTTTTTTGCTTGGGGCGGCAGAAATGCTGGAGCCAGCCTTGGCTACCTGTCTTGGGCAAATCGTTTTCCCTCACTGCACCTTGCCTCACCCCCCACTGTAAAACAGGAACAACAGCGGCATCCTACGTCCCAGGGGTGTTGTTTGTAAAGCACTGTGAGATTACTGGACAGCCAAGGAAAATCTCTCCTCTCTACCCTCACGAGACACACGCAGGTGCAGAGCAGAACAGTGTGTCGTGATGCCTGCTGGGGACTGTGGCCTGCTGTCTGTGGGCGCTGTGGGGCTGTGCTCTATTCCTTCAGGGTGGGGGTGAGGGCTGGGGCGCCTCCCTGAGGAATGGGGCAGGAGCTCTCATCTGGGCTGGGGGATGGGTGTGAAGCACTGGATGTGCAGGGACTCCAGCTAGAGTAGGGTTCCCCATAGCCGGGTGATGCATCT